CACGCACAACATAGTTGCTGCTGCTGCTGCTGCTGCTGCTGTAGCAACGGATGCTCCCCCTGCTGCTACTACTGCTGCTTGGTGTGGTTAACTGCTGCCAGCAACCGCTGCGGCCCCGGAGACCCTCAAGGGTTTGGGGGCTGCGGCGGGGCTGAGGGGCCCCAAGGGGCCCTCCGCTCTGCCTCGCATGTAGGCAGAAACGCAGGTAGCTGCAGGCCACAAGCAAACTCGCATACGGTGAAGGAGCTTGCTTGAAGCTGCTGCTGCTTCTGCTGCTGCTGCAGATGCCACCGCTGCTGCTGTTGCTGCTGCTGTTGCCTAAGAAAGAAACTAAACCTCCTGTCCGCCCACAAGGCAAATCAGCGCGGCTCAAGCCGCGCAAGAAGACAGCCATAAGAAAGAGGAGAAGGCCGGAGTTGGGTTTTTGCGTGCTTAGGTGAAGAACTAAGAATGCAAGGACCTACGAAAGGTCGCATGCATGCGTGCATGCATGCATGCGTACACGCATGTGCTTGAGGATATGTGTGTTAAGCACGCATGCATGTATGCATGCATGCATGCATACATGTGTTTGGGGGGATATGCTTGTGCCTGCTGCTGTGGCTCCAATAACAGCAGCAGCAGCAGCAGGAGGCGTTGCTTATTGACACCGCCGCAGCAGAGGAGAGCAAGGGTAACCCTGAAGAAATCTAAGGAGATGTGATTAAAATAATTTTAATTTGAATCTGAATTTGAATTTGAGGCTGCAGGCAACGCGGGAGGCGTGCGAATAAAGCCCAGGTGGAGCTGGTGCGGTTTTGCCGCTGTTGTTGTTGGCTGTCTGTACAGCAGCAGGATATTATGTACTTATTTGTTTCTAATTTACAATATTTATAAGCTCCAAAACAAATCAAATGGCATTTGCTTCGCCTCCTCTACATCAGACGAAAAACGCCGCCGCGGCAGCCCCAAAGCCCTTGCGGTGTATACTCAGTGCAGCATAGAGTCGGTGGGGGTTTGATGTTTGTTACGAGTGAATATAAAACTTTATTAAAAAGTTAATAAAAATAACTTATATTTTGTTGTTACTAATGTATAATATATTTTATTAGTTAATCCTTTTTTTGCCAGTAATAAATAATATGCCTCATCAAGCAATCGTTCATAGTTTATATAAATAATTAATATATTTTATTCATTGTTTGTTTGTTTCTTTATCAGTTGTTTTACTGCTACTATTAAATATTCTTCACCATACAATCCTTTACTGTTAATAATAATATATCCACTATTGCAATATATAAATCCTTTACTTTCACTAATATATCATCAACTGCTATTTATTTATTCTTTCTAATAAATTCTTTATTGTCGCTCATAAACTATCCAGATAAGTAGTTGTAAATAAAACATCAAATGTTGTTAATAAATCATCAATTTTTTTTCTATAAGTTATTTAATATTACTAACAAACAATTGATTTTTATAAACAAGCCATAAATTGTAGTTAATATATCCTTTTGTTTCAGTTGCTGCCAACACAGATACGAGCGGTTGCCTTGCGCAGGTGTAAAGACAGACAAAAATAGTAAGCGGATATTCTACGATATTATCATAACTACCATCATAACTACAATTATTTGTATGATTCCTAAAACTATTACTATTGTTTTTATTACTATTCTTTCAACTAGTAGCGTTACTAACTATTGTTTTGTTTGCTAGCAATATTTACTATATATTACTTTTATTATATTCGCACTTTTTAGTATAACCACCACCACAAATACAACTACTATTCCTATTACTATTAGTATTAACACTGTTACTATATCTTTAGCCTCCTTTCAGTCTTTCAGAGCCACAGTAAGCTCAAACACCACCGACCCCACCCCTCCTCAACCAAAGCCATTTCTGCTGCCTCAGCAACCCCCTAGGAGGAGGAGGATAAACACGATGAAGTCAACGCCTATAGAAATATATATATATATATATATATATATATATCTGTATCGATATACTACATTATGCAGAGATTAGGTTGAAAACAGTAAGAAGTGCAATATATGAGAAGAAGGCTAATAAGACAAATCAAAGTAAAGAAAGTTAGCCAGACAGCAAAGAAAGAAGTAAAATAGAGGACACGATGCTTAGGAAGAAAAATATTAAAAAAAATGAAAAAGAAGTAAACTGAACGATAAGAATGCCAAGAAGAAGATATGAATAAGTAAAATACAAAATAAAAAGGCAAATAAAAAGAAAAAAAGAAAAAAACAAGTTATAAAATAAGCGACTCTTATATCTTCTCGTTAGCGACTGCGAGTTGCACACCCCAAATGACGTGAGCACCATATGAGCCAAGAATACAAGCCAGCAGCAAGTAAAC